TGAAGCTAGTAGAAACAGGCTTCCTTTCCTGAGGAAGGCGCCAGAAAAGTCAACTCCTTTCTCTTTTAGCAGTACCATGCACACTCCTCTAAATGGGTTTACCTGGCCAAAAGGCATCTGCTGTGTACTTGGGAGAGAGCACCAGTTTAGGTCCTAAAGGCAGGAGGAGAAGCAAAGAGCAATGAATCAAGTAAAGTCCCTGTTTAAGAGGGAGGTGAGGAAATTAGCATATCAATTAACTCTTAGAAAGCTTTGGTTTAGGCACAGGAGGAAAGAGGATCTGTGCTTTGTGCCTGCAGCTGCAGGGTTCCAACCTGGGCTGCTGGGGCCAACACTGTGGTTAAATGATACTCATCCCACTTGCACCTGGATCAGTAAGAGTAAATGAATGAGTAACATTTGATTTCAAAATTAAGCTCTCGACAGCAAGAGCAAGCCTTATAAACATCTAGAGAGAGACAGCTTGTCTGGATCAAGAGCACTATATGTCTTCATAGAAAAATAAACAAGGGCCTGAGGAGATGACTCAGTTGGTGTAGTGCTTTCCACACAAAAATGAGAATCTGAGTTTGTATCTCCAACACCCTCTATAAAATGCCAAGCTTGGTGGTGTAGGGCACCTATAATCCCAGCTCTGAAGAGGTGGGGACAGGAGGACCCCTGGGGCTTGCTGGTCAACCAGCCTAGCCAACTGGTGAGTTCCAGATTCAATGAGAGAGTCTCAAAAAATAAGTGGAGAAGCAATTGAGGAAAAAATGCACAGTCTAGTCTCCACATGCACGTGCACACGCGCCTATCTACTCACCCACACCCATACAGAAAAAAGAAGAGCAATCAAGCTATAGAAGATAAAAATCAGACAGGTGAGGAGGCTTGGGGGATGACTCAGTGGATAGAGCACTTGTTGAGCAGGTATAATGACTGGGTTTCAGATACTTAGCACCTATGTAAGTGTTGGGTGGGCGTGGAGGCCAGCTAGGAAGGACAGTTCTCAGAAGGTGAAGACTGGGGCTTCCTGAAGCAAGGTGGCTACCTAGACTAGTCATATCAGTCAGCTCTGGGTTCAGTTGCAGTTGAGAGACCCTGCCTCAGTGGAAAAGGTGGAGAGCAACTGAGGAAGATTCCTAACGTCAGACTTGGGCCACCACAGACACATACACACGTGCACAGGAACACCCCCCCCCCACGCACACACACCAAACATATATAAACACAGAGGAAAGGATGGAGGGGATGCCTTCAGTGTGATTGCCTAGCAGGTGTGAAGCCCTGTGTTCAGTTCTTAGTACCAACTTCACAATAGTAACAACAAATCAGACTGAAATCCAAATATTAGAGAAGATGAAGGAGCAGCAGTGGATGCAGTGGACGGTTATCCCTCCTTGTGGATTGACTACTCATATTGCCCATGATATCTACTGACTGGGGTAGTGAGAAAGCCTTTCTTTCCTCCCACCATTTGCATAGTTGGAATCTCACTAACATCGTACGTAGGTTAGAGCAAAATGATGCTGTTTGTTTTGCTTTTTCTGTGGACTCCATTATCAAGCAATGTGCTTTTGTGTGCCGAAGAGCAGAAAGGCCCCACTTCCTCTTTTCCAACGGACTTGAGCAGAAATCAATTACTACATTTATTCCAGGCGTACCAAATGTGTGCTGGTTGTAGATGCCACAGAAAAGCAGTGCTTTTTTTTCATCACAAAGGACTTTCTATTCTAGCATGTATCTTACAGCATCATGCCTCTAAAAGTGAAGTTTTCCCTCAGTCATTCAAATGTCACTCTATAAATAGGAAGAATTGAAGCACATAGAAACACCCAGCTGATGACTAAGAGCTTAATTTCTCAGGAAATAACCCTTATCTGAGCAGAGCTGGAGCAACTGTGTGTTTAATTTTCCAAAACTTCCTCAAATTTACTCACGAATTTCAAACAAATCAGGTCGTTTCATGAAAAATCAAATGAGATTTCATTTTAATACTTAAGACTTTTCTTACGGATTGCATCACAGATCAAAAGAGAGAAAAATACTCTAAAAAAGAATTAGATTCATGATTGCAGTACATTGGAGAGTGATGGAACTCTCGCTTTAAAAATTAACTCCCAGCCCAGCGTGGTGGCACATGCCTTTAATCCCAGCACTTGGGAGGCAGAGGCAGGTGGATCTCTGTGAGTTTGAGGCCAGCCTGGTCTCCATGGTGAATCCCGGACAGCCAGGGCTACAGGGAGACCCTGTTTCAAAAAGATGAAAAAAAAATTTAACTCCCTATTTGTGAACTAACTCCTCTCTCTCCCAAAGTTTACTCCTAAGAACACTAGTTCCCTGCGTTGCACTACAAAGAAAGTGTTCTATGATGACTGTTTTGAACCCCTTTGGCCAAACAAAATCATTGAGTCATTTTCATAAATATTTTCATCCTTTAGACATGCTCCTTATAATTCAAGTTTGTTACCACTGTTGGTCACAATGCAAGCAAATCTTATACCAAAGTCTGCCAACATACACATACATATGTATCTTAGCAAATAAACAGAAGAATGGCAAGCTCAGGAGGCCCCACTCAGTGTTTAGGACCTTACAGTGATTAGCTGTGGTGGGGACAGGTAAATATAGGGCTCTGCCAAGTAGCAGAGCCTTCTATGAAGTACAGAAGCTCTGTCTTGAGTACCATAGCATTAGGTGGCTGGGTTTTCCCAGCTTTGCTCCTTGTTCATGGAAGGGGGACACACAGTCATTGTTAATTACCGCATATTTCAGCATTACTCATTTTAGCAATAAAAAGAGCATTTATAACTTCCCTTTTGCAAATTAACAAATTCGGTGTTACAATAGCGACAACTGAAACGTCTGAGAAACGACGTCAGAGGCTAGATTCCTCTTGAAGGTGTTTCAAACGTTATCTAAGTTTACTCCCTGGGTGGGCTGACACTGGTTTACACATGCAAGTACCCACATACAAACACTATCCTGTTTATGTTGAATGTTAACTAAAGTTAATCCCCACATGATCCTGTAACACAGTTGAGGCAAGTTTGAGAACTCAAAGAGCTGATAAAGATGCCGAAGACTGACAAGTGCTACAAAATGGAAACCAACCAAATTCAAGGCATTTCAGATTATTTGTCCTTGGGACCCTCAGGACACTTGTATTACAGGCACAGGCAAGTAAATTTCTACGTGGAGAAACCAGCTTACCAATCTAAGCAACATTTCCAAAATGCTTTGCAGCTGGGTAGTTTCAATTTACAGCTCTGCCACTTACTTCCTAGATACTTCTCAGCAAGTTTCTCTGTGACCTTGTTCCTTACTCTAAAATGGACTAGTTCTAACTCCAGAGAGTGTGTGAGGATCAAGGAGTCAAACCTGGAAAGTGTTTTATAAAAGACATGTCAGAACGTGCCCACGGGTTTTAGGTATTATTGCATTTTTTTTGTCTAGGAGTTATTTCTCAGAAATTTTCAGGGCATCTAAGGGCTCTAGTTGGGGGCGGGGAGGCTCTGGGAGGGTGCCATCTGGGAAGTGGGTGTAGAGATGAATAAGATGGTTTGGGATATTCTGTGTGACATACACACAAAAAAATCAACAGATTTTAAAAAATGAGTAATATTTGAGGAGGCAGCATAAAAGTTTGCGTCATGTTAATAAGTAGAAGTGATGACCATTGAAATCTGCCCGATGACTTTATATCCATACACAGGTGCCAAGGATCTGCATACAACTGACTATGACTAGTAATAATCAGATACATACAGATTAGAGATGCATGCGCCAACATCTAAGTGTTCTTAGCAAAAACGAGTCTTTCTGTAAGAAACAGTATATTTTAAAATGAAAGGGAGATCTTTTTTAAAGGTTAAAAACTCATTCAATTTTATGTCTTACAGGGTTTATGCTGAGTTCAATATTGTATAACTGTATTAATTCAACTGTGAACCTAAAAATTTTATAGCCACTTTTGAAAGAGAGGAATCTTTGCTCTGGAAATTGTTATTATGTTAAAGCTGTAATGAAATGATTCTTCTAAAAAATTATTTTTTCAGGGCATCACATACATCTAATCTCTGTCAATGAGGAGGTATTTGAAATTTAATGAAAAAATTTAAAAATAAATGTAGCCATAGATGACTTCTGAATAGCCAACATATCGGACATTCTTAGTGTGTCATAGTCTAATGTCCAATGGCCTGAAGCTCCATTTCACAGTCCATTTCTGGCAGTAAAGCTCACAGTACCTCAGTCTTTTTAATTATAAAATGGAAATAATAACAGAACCTTCCCTACCACATGTTGAATGAGTGTGTGGGTTCTGTCAGCAGTCTGACAGCAAGCCATGCAGAAATGTTGACTCTTTGTTGATTTATTTTTATTTATTGCATTTAAAAAATGTTTGTGCTTATGTCCCTGTGTGTGCATATGCACATGTGTAGGGGTACTCACAGAGGCCAGAAGAGGGCATCAGACCATCTGGAGCTACAGTAATGGGCAGTTGTGAGCCATGCAACATGGGTGCTGGGAACTAAACTACAGTCTTCTGCAAGAGCAGCAAGTATTCTTAGCCTCTGAGTCATCTCTTCAGGCCCTTGAGCTATCTCTTCAGGACCCAAAGTTGGTTCTTTATAATCAGACCTCTAGGAAGCATAATATATTGTGCTAAATATAAATGTTTATTTTATTAAAACATCCCTGCTTTGATCTCCAAGACTCTTTCTAAGCCTTCTGACCTTCAGCGTTATACTAGACATTGGATAAATTGAATTCTGCCACCACCAGCAGCACTGAGTATTAATGCACCAAGGTTTATATCACATACTGCGTCAGACTGCACTTAAAGGACACATAAAGACAGCGATTCTCATTTGAAAGCACCTAACTAATTAGTTCTCTAAGCACAATTTGCAGATGGGATACAGGCAGATCATTCTGGAATGAACTGTAGGCCCATTCTGCTGTTGCCAGAGATGCTGCATTTGGTGGTAAAGAAATGTCTCCATGTTTCCTAGGAAACCCTAGAAGCAGCCCGTCTTGGCAGCCCACTGTGGCAGGCATCTCCCTTCCTTCTACAACTATGAAAGGACTGCAGTTGAGTGACAGAGCTTTATGGGGGCTGAGGAAGCAAAGAGAAGAGAATGAAACGGAAAGACAGTCTCCACGTAACTGAGTCACCTGGGGAGAGTCAGCCACTAGAAGTCAATCTTCACTGGGGTTCATGTGCACCAGACAGAAGAGTGCCCAGAGGAGTGTCATCTGTGAGCAAGAGTAGATGACAGGTATGGGAGGGAGATTTTACCTAGGAAAATTAGGCATTAAAAAGTAATAGGAAACACCATCTTCCAGGGAAAGGAAAGCAGGATACAGTCTGTTTCCCTGTCCATGCTATTCTCTTTGGAGATTTTGTTTTTTCTTTACTGTGGCATAATCACCTGACCTAAGCAACTTAAAGAAGGAGGGCTTTATTTTGGCTCATAGTCTCTGAGCATAGTTCATCCTGTGGGGAGGGTGCAGCAGGGAAGGTATGTGCTTGACTTGTTCACATCTTGGCAGATCAGGAAGCACAGATAGAACCAAAAGCAGGGCTTGGCTCTAACCCTCAAGGCATGATCTTACTTGCTTACATCTTCCAGATAGTCCCAATGTTCTAAGGGTTCTATAATCATCCCAGAACAATGCCACAAAGTGGGGACCAAGTGTTCAAACACCTAACCCTATAAGGGATATTTAACATTTCAATCCATCACAGATATCAAAGGCTCAATATCTTTGGGGATGGGAGAGGTATCTTCCAGGTCCTGTGGTTCACAGAGTCCCTTGGCTGTTGGGAGAGGAACAACAAATGCCCAAGGCTTAGCCAGAGGGAATTTTCAGAGATTTTGATGAAATTATTCATAAAGTTCTTTTTTTTTCTTCCTCATATTAAGCTGGTAGGATATGAGCCAATGTCTAAGAGGAGTCAACATGAGTGTGAAACCACCACGGTGGAAAAGCAGGAAGGAGGCGAGGTAATTTACCTAGGTCACTGTTGGGGAATCTGCAGCCAGCCAGCCATGAAGCCTCAAGATCTTTCAGTTACAAGCCTGGTAAATTCCCTTTTTCTCTTAGCCAGTTTGAGTTAGTTTCTACCACTTACTGGGGGAAAACACACAGCTCTGACTAATAACTGAGGTCAGGGAAAGTCAGGCTGCTTTATTGTATTGTATGCAGAACTTCTACTTCAGCACACCGAGAATCTTTCATGGGTATGTGTGTTGGTCTCTGCTGGTCATTTTTCCCTAACTACCTCCCCACAAACTCAGGATATCTGGTTAGACAAATAGAATTTGTCTCATAGAATGAGGAAACAGAATGTTTGAAAATCACAACTATCCTAAAAACCTGCAACATGTGAGCAAACACACTCACTGATTGTGATGATCACACAAGCTTGGCCACCCAAAGAGAACTCTTGAAGGGTGCATTTCAAAGTTGAATTCTTCCACTTAGTAATCAGGCTAAAAATAGTTTGCCTACACTCCCTGGCTGATGACTGAAACACATTGCCCCAGAAACCCTTGTACCAATTATCTACTGCAGGCTCTAAGCTGGCCAGTCAATATTTGGATCTTGCAGAAAGAATTCCATGGAGAATTCAGTCCACACATCCTTTTTGCCCTTTAACTGTCTCTATATGTGACCACCGCAGTAACTGTATTATCCACTATCTCAGTAACCCTTACAGTGGTGACAACTTAGCCTTAGAAAGGCTTTCCTGGAAGTCGTGCAAAGCCAAGTTTGATGACTACAGTCCTACGACCTAAGCATTAGACACGAGCAGTTCAGAGCTAATCCACCTGTAGTTCTTGTAACAAAGGGCTTCTAACATGAACTTGCAGTGTCACTGATCAAATCATCTTGCTTTTGTCATCTGCAGGGTTCCTGCTGAATTCAGCACTTACAGTGTACCAAGTACCATGTTAAACAGTTTACATTAACCAATTAAATGTTCATAAGACATCATGATGTTACAGTTACTGGTGTCTCCAATTTATATATGAGAAAACTGAAACTCAAAGCAGTTGAGCAAAATCACCCTAAGTAAGTGCTAGAGTTAGAGTCAGATTCTAGTCCATTTCCTCTGTTCTCCACAGACTATGTTGCTAATGCCTCCTACTATATTTCCATTCTTTGTGTGTGTGTGTGTGTGTCTGTGTGTCTGTGTTTATATGTGTATATGCGTGTGTGTGGGTGGGTATGTATGCACACACATGAAGAAGCCAGCCTCGGGTATGTTCCTCAGATGCCATCCACTTTTTCTTTCTGAGTCAGGGTCTCCCACTAGCCTGGAACTTGCCAAGCAGGTTAGGCACTCTGGCCAACAGACTCCAGAGATCCATCTCTCTCAGTCTCCCCAGCACTGGGATTACCAGCACACATCAACCATGCTTAGCTTTGGTTACATGAGTTCTGAAGATGAAATTCAGATTCTCATGCTTGTGAAACAGGCATACCACCAAGGGAGCTGTCTCCCCAGTCCTTTTTCAGACACTTAAGAGACCTTTGATATTTTCTTTGGAATCATCAATTTTCATTTTTCCAACCTCACAATATTAAGGGGCTGAAAAGACGGCTCAGTGGTTAAGAGTACAGGTGACTCTTGCAGAGAAGTGGGTTCAGTTCCCAGCAACCACATGGCAGCTAGCAACCAACCTGGAACCCCAGTTCCAGGGGATCTGATACTTTCTTCTGGTCTCTGCAGGTATTATATGCACATGGTACCCTTACACACAGGAAACATTCATACACATAAACTAGAAATGAATAAGTTTTCAAAGAAAATATTAATATGTAACTTGGTAAATAATTGTTTAGGCACAAGTACAGCATGAAGGCAAGACAGTGATACTTACCTAGCACATTCCCTGTGCTGGACACTGTGCTAGGCTTTGGCAATACAGCAGAAGCCAAGGGGATGGTCTCAGGTCTTGTAAAGGAGTACAGACAGAGCAGCTATAACGAAGAAAGGCCAAGGTGTCATGAGAGAAACTAGAGCTTGGAAGGTCATACGTTTTTGTTTTGGTGTCTACCAGGTCTGAAACTAGCTGGTGATGGGCATTTGGAAGAACTGGCTGCCCTCTGGGACATCAATTTTCTCATCAGTCAGAGGAAAGTTGGGCTTGTTATCTGCAAGTTCTTCTGCCCTGGAATTTGATGAGTCTCAGCTTAATTTCCTCAGTTCTTGAAGGGTGCTGGAATATAGTTTCCAAATACAGTTGACCACAACAGATCCCGAGTAGCTTGGGCAAAACAGCTACTTCCAAACCCGTAACTAGAGGGCTGGATCTACAGGCTCTTAGACAGGCCCTAAATCTGAATTTTTGAAGAAGACTTGCAAAAGACTCAGACACATGAATTGTGATTTGAAACTCTGGTTCTCAAAGCTATGGCAGCACTTGGCAGCTTATCAGAAATGCAGATCTGGGATCACATCCCAGATCCATTGAAGCAGAATCAGCATTATATGAAGGCCCCAGGAGACCTACTTGTGCACACCAAAATTCCTTCAGAAAGGTTCCAAACTGGCCAGTCTTAGTGTCACAGTCAATGCTGGAACCAAAGAAACCAGACTCTTGCCATCTCTAATGGTTGTTAGTTTAAATTTCTTGTAAGTTTTCGTCTCTAGGAGAGATCCGTAACCACCACCCCTAAATTCGTTATCTGGGATAGTGCTTTTTGAATCATATTTAGCAGAGCCCTGGGCTTCAGTCCTCCAAGGCCTCCCAGGGAGCAGGGATTGTCTGAGACTGCCTGGATGGAGTTAGGGCATCAGGCTACAGAGTTTCTATGCTTTCATCAGTTTTTGGAAATTGGGATTACAGTTTGATTTCCTTTAGAAAGAAAATTTTGCCTTTTTTGTCCCTTAATCAACCATGTTGTTCTGCAATGTCCATCAGCACCATCAGGGTCTTCCTCAAGTGACTCAAGTAATGGGCTTAGGGAATGAACCTGCTCTGTTTTCCTGTATACTTCCCTTGGGGGTACAGATGTGACCTTTAAAATGCCAAAACCTCTTGTTCCCAAGAGGACTATTAAGTTACTTTCCTATCCTATTTTAACATACAACATCCATGAAAGAGGCTAATGTGGAAAATTCTGAATTCGGATTATGTGCCATCGCCGGTTTGTCCTCCATCAAAAGCTCTGTGTACTTTTTCTTAAAAAACCAAAACATTCCCAGCAAGCAATGGGAATTTGATACTTAAGGTAAACAGCAGTCCAGATTTATCCCTAGATTGAATAGTTTGAGGACATCTTTAGTGATGAGATTGCCTAGTGTGTCTACTGTAACAGCCTCTCAGAATTCACTTAATGATGAAGCTACAGAGGCCCAGGAAAAGATGAATTCAGTTTTAGTAACAGGCAAGGATTTGATCTCCACTGGGGTGCACAGAAATAATCAGCAGAGGAGGCCTGAGTAAGCTATCTAATGGACACTTGTGCATTAGTTTGATTCAAGGAATTAGAATTTAAAAAGTAATTACACTGTAGAGGTAATAATATAACTATTACTACAATTATTTAATATTTTTAGAATTTCATACCTGGTGTTTTATTTGCATCACTTCCACTCTTCTCTTTCCTCTTCCAACTTCTCTCATGTCTCTCCACATTCTCTCAATTTCTTTTTTTAATAATTGCATTTTCTATTGAATTTTTGTGATTTTTATACAATATAGTTTAATAATATTTAGATCCCCTCTCCTACTGGAACCTTCTGCCACTGCCTCCCCTACCCAATTCAGCATTATATGTATCAACCTGTAGAGTCTGATTTGTGTTCCCAAATGTCCTTCAGTGTGGGTTCATCCACTGGGCCCACCAAAAGTCTCATCCCTTTAAAACCCTGTCTCTCCCCTCCTAGCGTCCATCAGTTGCCAAAAGTTCCTTAGGTTGGGTTGGGATTTCTTAACCATTTCCCCAAGACTATGCTAGAATTTTGTCTGGTTTGAGCTTTCAGAGGACTTGTGTATGCTGTCACCATTACTGTGAGTTCATATGAATATCTGACCAGCTGTCTGGAAAATTCCTTGTGATCATCCACTCCCTCTGGCTCTTATAATCTTTCTGCTTCCTCTTCTGCAATGAGGCAGAGATTTGAAATAGGTGTCCTATTCAAGGATTAGCACTTTGTGGCCTCCTGTTCTCTGCACATTGGTCAATTGTGGGTTTCTGTGTTAATCACCATCTGCTGCATAAGGAAGCTCTCTGGTGAGAATTAAGAGGTACCTTTATCCTATGTGTAGAGGTTGCATTGAAGATGTGTCTTTTAGGATTAAGCATCTCACAGATACTTATTCTCTGCATTTGACTAGTTCTGGAACTCTAATAGTCTCCATCTGTTACAAAAAGAGCTTCTTTGATGAGAGGTCAAAGGCACACTTGTCTGTAAATATAAGGATGCATATTTAGAATAAAGAAATTACATTGATCTAGGGATGCTGCAAAAACAGGTTTTTCTCTAGGATCTATGACCTTTCCAGTTCTGTGTATTTGGCTCCCTTTATAGTATCACATGTAAGTTCCCTCCCACTGAGCGGGCCTTAAGTCCAACTAGACATCTGTTGATTACACCCAAGATAAAAGTGCCACTATTGCATCAATAGAGGTAGTTTGCTAAATTGGTCACTGTAGTTTGTAGGCTTTACAGCTGTGTAATACCATTGATTGGTCTTCTCCCTTGGCCACTTTCAAAGTACCTTCTGATATTATGAGAGCTAGTCTTCAGGGAGGAGGTTTCCAGGCCAGTTCCAGCTCAATTATTCAAAGTCCTGCATCTGAAGTATGTGGTGTCTTCAGCAATAGGGTCTTACCTTAAAGTTCTGCAAGGCAGCTAAGGGCTACGACAATAACCTATATTATTTCAGGAGTCTCTTGGACTACTCTGACCAACAGCTTGAAGGGAGGTTTCCCTGCGATTTTTGTTGTATAGCCATCAGCTATACACATGCACACATGCACACACACACACATACACACACACACAATGTGTATTTTTAGTAGGCTTATGAAATAATACAGTCCCCCATGGTTTTTTAGACAAACA